TTAGAATGATTTCTGAAGGATCACATGTAAATTACTTTTTAAAATATATTTAGATAGAAAACAGTTACTGTATATTGCAATAATATTTCACAATATTAATGTTTTTATTGTATTTTTCATTAAATAAATTTAGTCATATGATGAGTTGAATCAAAAACCTTTTTAAAACCCTAATTCTTGAACAGTAGTGTACAATGAATGGGGACTGAATCTTTCAAACTTCAAAAACATATTATGAAAGTAGTGCATATGGCTTGTGCACTACATTCCAAGTCTTCTAAAGCCATACAATAGCTTTGTGTGAGGAACAGAACAAAAGTCACTTTTCATTTTGAGTTTTTCTTTTGAGATGGATCTCTTTGATGAATCATTTGATCAGGTTCACAAAATCATCTGAACGATTCATTTGTGAATCAAACTGATCAGTTGAACAATTCGATTTTTATTTCAGTCGGTTTCTCACCACAAAAAAAAAAAAACTTGGAACACAATCCATACTTTCATGATGCCTTTATGGTGAATAATTGTGTCAGTTCCCCCTGCTTGAAACTACATGGAAAAGAAGTGGCACTTCAGAATTTCTCTTTTAGTGTGCCATTTAAAAAAAACAAACAAAAAAAACAAAGTCATGCATGTTTGGAATGACATAAGGGTGAGTAAATTGGTTAGTATTTTCATTTCAAGCAAACTATTCCTTTAAATGCAATTCGGGTCTTGTAAGGATCGCTCTGTAACTAATGGCCACTCCAGTGTGGTGGGATTTGAATCACTTAATCCAGCGCCGCACACAGACCGTCTCTATTTTGGGCCCGGACAGGCAGGTCATAGGGCCGTAGAGTGCCTTGCAGGCTGCTGAATAAATGATTTGTTTCTTTATTTAGTGGATGGCGGGCGAGTCGGCAGCCTTAAAAGAGGATGCGAGGGAAAAAGAGTACAAATGAACTCACGTCGGTTCCTCTGACGCATGCGATGCAGCCCAGCGCTGCGAGAGACGTGGGTGAGCGGTGCAGTCAGACGGGAGACTTTCTCGTCTCGTTTTAAATGAAAACAGATTTTCTTTCTCTTCTCTCTCGGAAAAAAACTGCCCAATTCATCCACTCCAGTCGAGCCCTTTCTATCACTTTCAATCAGATTTCACACAAAAGAAAAATGCAGTGCGACGCACAACGGCTGAAGTGCAGAAAATTGCAGTGGCACTGAGCACAGAGAGATAAAAATGCGTTGGCGACCCGCTCAGAGCCAAGTATCGCTGTTATTTCTATAGCAAAGTTTGTTTCTCAAGGGCAGAAGTGATGAATATTTCTTTGCGTATTATCAAAGGCAGAGAGATGTCATGCTGCTGTCAGTGACGGAGAGGACGGGAGCTCTGGGAGGATGAAACGGCTGCGGGTTCGGGAAATGACACTCTACAGTGTAGCAAGAAGTGTCGAGTGCAGCCTTTTCATGTGGAGCCAAAAATGGCAGGGATGTAGGGACGCACTGATACTGAGCTTGTACTCGCTAAAATGCTTCGGCATGCAGCATATATGCAACACATGCCTCGGAGACGCATGACAGATGAACACAATATGTGCTTTAAAATCAGCTCAAAATATCAGACATATTTGAAATCCTCTGGATGGATGGGTTCAGTCTGAAGCAAAAAACAGAGTGTGTGTCCATCATACTGCTTGATTTTCCGTGAAATCGGTCAACTCGAATCTGCAGATTTCTTCGGACTTTCTGCAACTACAGCGTCAACTTCTCCAGACTGCAAATCTGGGCAAATATTAGGGCTGGGTATTGAGAGGGTATCGATTCGCAACAAGCTTGCGAATCGATTTCAATCTTGATTCAGTTCTATTTGATATTGATTCATTTGGATATATATGCAATCAGGTATAGAATTGTTTTCCAAGGAAAAAGTCTCTCTCAATTTAGGGGTGTTTAGACAAAAACTTTTTATGCATTTTGCCCGTTCATTTACACAATGGCAGCATTTTAGGGGCCTGAAAACAAGTTTCAAAGTGTACGTTTTTGAAAAAGATACCATTATTGTCTCACTTTAAACTATGATAATGCAAATTTGTGAAAACGCTAATATTATGCACATGTGTATTACGTGTTCAGCCAACAGGCATCCGTCTCTATAGGTTTCTTTACAAATTAACATCGCCATCTACTGGCCTGGCATTAATGATAGAGCATTTTTAGTCCTTTTCATGGATCCCTGTGAACTTGTGTTCTTGACGGATCTACTAAAACATAGGCTACATAAATATTGAAGAACAGGTTGAATAAAACTATATTGAATGTAATATAGTGCATATTTTAGCAAAATGCTCCTTATTTGTAGCTAACATTTATGTAGCTAACTATCAAGTTTATGAACATTGAAAGGCTTTTCTGATGTAACGTTACATTACACATTGTGTACAAGCTGTTTGATCTGATCTCGTGCCGTTTGAACCGAGGCAGCTACATTAATCTGTCACGCCACATTAAAGAGTGCTAAAACTGTATTTATTGTTTGAATTTCATAATCAATTTGACAGAGCTTAAAAGCTGAAACTTTGTTACATTTCAAAAGTAACGAAGCACAAAGCTTACTGCGCTTTATTGGATGATAGGCACGCTAAAAATAATGTTTCTTTAAGTTTTGTTCACGCATCAACTGAAAACAGCATAGACCGATTCTTGGGATTTAGCAGTCGATATTGGTTCATTAAAATGAGAATCGATTAAAATCACGAAATCGATATTTCAGCCCAGGCCAAACAAATATCTGGGAAAAAATGTATAGTGTATTCCAGCCTTTAGCCAAATGAGAGTGAGAAGAAAGAATGCAAAGTGTTACGTTCCATTAGAAATAACAATGTATTGTTATTTACTCCTCCAAAAAGTAACACTAAATACTACTTATATTACTACACACTTCACTTCTACAAAGTGAAGAATAATTTGTCTACAACTGATCCTCCATCTCATGCACTGCAACACTTTCCCCCCTATTTTCTTGAAATATACTGAACATCTCCTTCATGTATTCTTCACATTTTTCTGTTCCTGCACAGCTCAATCAAAGGTAAAAAGATAATCTAAGTATTCGGCTAAATAATATGATGAAATATTATTGGTAGACACTCGTCTGTCCTATATAAATAACTCCATTCGTGATCTGAGAAACCTGACCTACTAGGCAAAGGTCAAGCAGCCTCCCATCGCATGCATTGATCTATTCCTGTTGACTAAGCAAGGCCACTGCCATCTAACTGACCGTCTTTAATGCCAAACGTATCTTCCTCTTCAAACACAATGAAGGAAACAGGCTCCCAATAGTGTCATCATCTCTTTCTGTTCTTTAGGGCTACTTATTATAACAACCGTTGTGACAGAGGCTCAAAAATCATCTTTCTCATTGGTGTAATTCATTCAACAGTTTCACAATGCTGTTAATCAACCAATCAATGATCTTATTAGGACAAACATCCTGCCAGCTAAATGGCGTCATTTAAATTTAACCTCAGCTTAAGGATCAATAAACCAACACCAAACTCCAAGTCTTGATTTATCTTCACCTTGTCCACTGCATCTGCCCTGACCTTATTAGTTCTGCATGATAAGGCAATGCTCACTATTGTTATTGCTATAACTCAGCCCACATTGTTTAGAAATGAATAACGAATCAAATCGTGTGGCTGGTTGAGGAAACGGTGTGGTAATACTGTTCAAAGTGATCAGACTCATAGTTTGTTTCCTGGCAGACGGCAAATAAAAGTGGGAAAATCCCATATTTTTCCATCCACATATTTGAATGCACATTTTGAGATATTGCATAAAAAAACACTAGACGGAAATGTCAAGATGTGAATAAAAACTTTTAAATGTGCATTAAAAAAAACATATGCGATCAATTGAGGTCTGTTTTTTTTTTTTTGGAAAAAGAAAACATGCATAAACTATGACGGAAACACATCTACCAAATAAATTCCTAAATGCGCAACAAAAAACTGACTTCACTTTGCCTCACAGTGTTGGGGAGTAGCTAGCTACAAGTAGCGACGCTATTAACGTAACTACATTTTTCAGTAGCGTGACGGTAGCTCTGCTACTTTTAAAACAGTGTAGCTTTTCCAGTAGCTAACTACTTTTTCCAGCAAGTAGCGGTGTAGCACGACCAAACGCTACATTCTGTTTTGCGTTCTGACAAGTCACGAGCCTGTTATGCATTCTGGCTAGCTCACAAACTAAATTTGTTCATTACTGCCATCTGTGGTGTATATTACGCATCTCACGGCTTTACAGTCTGTCCACCGACAAGAGATTGTCTAATGATTTTGCAAGGGATGTACAGGAGTGGATATTTCACATGAATCAACTGTAATTTATGCAAAACAAAGATTAAAATGCGGTCTACGTCGAAGACTTAAAGCATATACGGGAGGTGAATAATAGCTTTTTTAAACTGATTAATGTTCCTGCTTTATTGCACTCTATATCAAATGTCTATTTTACAATGATGAACCATGAAATAAAATCGCGATACAGTAGTGTGCTTATCATTTGTCGTTGCGGCGGCATTCCACAACAAAGTGCAGTGTTCATGCACGCAGCTGATGATTGACGTCTCAGAGTGGCTCCATTCACAGTCAGTAAATTCTGCATGTGCTGTGAGTTTAACCTGCTTATTTTACGACTCCTCCATATCTAGTTCAAGTTGCATTCATTTTGTTCTTGCATTGATGTTTACATTTGTAGCAATTTTGCACTTTGACAGACTGTTTGAGATAATGTAACTATATAACTATATTTTATTATTGTGTGTATTGGATAGTTTACAAAATCAAACGATTGGGAGACTTTTTGTTATTGAAGTGTCCTGATCAATCTGAATTCACCCTACTCTTTGAAATCATGATTGCATTACAATAAACCAGATACATTTCCTCCTTACATAAAACATATTGCTAGTCCTAAGCGGCTATTCACACAGAATGCGTTCTTGCGTTGAAAAACGCAAGATGGGGGCAATGAAATGGGAAAAAGACACAAGTTACGAGACACAAGTTGAAAGGAGTGGTATTTTGTATTTTTTTTTTGACTGTACTTAAGCATAAAAATACAGATATTTAAGAAACATGGGTTACATTTTATTTTAAGGTGTCATTGTTACAATGTAATTATAGATTTAAGTACTGAGTAATAATAATTAACTACATGTACTTACTATATGGTTAGGGTTAGGATTAGGGTTTGATTTAGGGTTACTTGCATGTAATTGCATAATTTATAGTTATTATAATAGTAAGTACATGTATACGTAATCACTACGGTACACCTATAATAAGTTTTTATATTTGGACAATTTTAGACTGGTTCTGGTAGGAACCGATGTGGAGTAATAATCAAGGAGCTTTGCTGCCGTACCATGGGTGTAGCAGGCGCAATGATATTACGCAGCGCCTGAAAATAGTCCCCAGCAGTGCAAGCAGGTGGTCACGTTGGTTATATTGACGGAAGTTAGCCTATTTTCAGGCGCTGCGTAATATCATTGTGCCTGCTGCACCCATGGTATGGCAGCAAAGTTCCTCGATTATTACGCCAGAATGAGAGTATAGTTCCTAGCCATATCGGCCTAGAAAATATGAGGGACTTTTCATTTTCCGTCGGTCATAGTACACGATGTAACTACAGAAGAGTCAAGTTTTAAATAGGAAAAGTATAGAAACTCTTTGGTCATTTTTGAGCGAGATGCTAACGGTCTAATCAGATTCAATGATCTATGCTAAGCTAAGCTAAAAATGCTACCGCCAGACCCGGAGATCGACTGAACGGATTCGAAAACGGTAAAACTCAACTGTTTAACTCTAGGTGAGCTGTTTTCAAAAATAGTGGAGTGTTCCTTTAATTTATCTTTTCATTAATGAAAATTAAATAATTTTTATTTAAATATTGTATGATTATTCCTTTTAAAAAATAAGGTTTTAATAATTTTAGTAGTAGTATTACGTACATTCTGCTGAACAATAATAATGTATTTCTGCCACAATATCTTCAAGTTAAACCGAACTCTTATTTTGAATGGGTTGCCGTGAATACCTTTACATTTCTGTGTGTTGTGTATGATATGATGCTAGTTTTACTCAAATGAAACGGTAAAGTGCTCTGGAAGTGACTCTCAGAGCAGCTCGGGAGATGTTGTTCACGTATTTACATACTCGTATATTGAGGCAGCAGAGGCTGAAATCACCGCGAGCATCATGCACGCTTCAGTACGAGCATCTGCGCCATTCATTAACACAGAGACACATAGAACATGCAGGATTCATATTTAAATAGTCTTTTTGCAACTTAATTTTTTTACAAATATTAGTCCATATTACGATCTGATTGAAGTGTAATGACCTAGTTTTGATTAATTCATCCAAACTTTGGCAAATTCTGTGACATTCCGCGTTAAACTGTAAAATGGATTCCACAATTCCGTCTGCGTTTTCCGCATCGCAGAAATAATAGGGCCCTACACCAGCTACCATGCTCTTCCACAAGATGCATGCAGTTCTGTTTATTAACTGGTAAAGCACCAAACGTTACGGACTGCAGCTTTAAAATAAAGCCGAAACATGCTAAGTCGACATACTTGTTTCTCTGAAAAACAATGCTAAAGCCAGTTATTCTGCTGTTAAATGTTCTGTGTCGGGATGTCTGTTTTTGTTTTGGTCTGTGCGATATCACCCACTGCCAATTTACCCAATAGTATTTTGACACCCCGGGTTGCCAGTTGGCAAAAATCACAGCGTATTGCAGCCATGGAAGCCAGCAAACAACCTGGATCAGAGATCGCTGATTCTACCAGATCTAAAAAGCCCCAGCATCCATCTAAAAAACTCTATGACCAGAGGAATATTAAAACACAGATAAATCAACTCATCAATTGTCAATGTAAAGCTTGCTGCCTTCTGTTTAAATTGTGCTCATTCCTGCGTGTCCTCAACCTGTCAACCCGTGTGATCATTGAGTCTGAGGAGGAGGGACGAAAGAAACAACTCTCGCCAATATTTTGAATTTGGATTGCAGCACCCGTTACAACCACTAGCTGACAATTTTACATACTGCACCTTTAAAGTCGGCATGAAACGGAAGTTGCGATTGTCTTTTCTTCTCTGCTGTGACGTACTGTATATCTGAGTGTAACGGCATCTGAAATGAGAGGGCGCGACTTGATTTTGTCCTTCGCGAATTGATTGGATCGTTGGAAGGTGGGGCGTTGCTAACAAAATGGAGGCAGATCTGAATGCCAGTTTGCAGTTAGTTGTGGGGGATTTCTCTCCACTGGATTCACAGCCGACACCCAAGCATGAATAAATGTTTTATTTATTAAGGATGACGACGACGATCAACTACACAAAACATGCCTAAACAGCGCGCGCGAGAGAGAAGAGAGAGAGAGAGAGACAGACTGCCTGAATGACTGAGCGTGTCCTCCATCAGGTTAAGTCATATTCATGAAAAAAAATAGTTTGCGATGTCCTAAGAGTAATGTTGTCATAATATCTTTTCAATGTTTGTACTCCCTCATGACTGGTGTCAGTGCTATAAAGTGAAGCATCAGCTTCAGTTTTTCCCCCTGTCGTTTATCCCAGCGTTTACCCCTCACGTCACTAGCTCCGCCCTTGCGCCATAGCTCGTGACCGAAAGAGAAGATGAGTCGTTTTGAGGGGGAGGGGAGGCTAACGTTTTTGATTAAAGAGTACGAGGGCACATGAATTTTTAAAAAATAATGAAGTGCACGGATAAATTATTTATAATAAACACTACAGTATTCCATTAAAAAATAAGAATTTTCCATTTTGATTTCATGGTGACTTTAAAGGTGCAATAGGTGATTGTCTTCAGAAACATTTTTTGTTATGCTGGTTGAAAGTCTCTTCACATCCCGATAGCAATCATTAAGTTAAGTGGTCTAACTGTATTTCATTTTTGTCTTTATATATTCTGTGGAAGGCGTAGGACCAAGAAATGTTCGTCCAATCAAAATGCTCGGAACCTTTTATTAACTGTACTATAACGTTTTCTCACCGGTAAATGACATATAATGTAGCCTAGTAATGTTGTCTCTGGCCGTCTGATGTGTTCGCGAACTTCGCATTCATGCATTCAGGAGGCGTGGCTTTGGACAGCGATTTGTAGGGAGGGTGGGACGTTCACTTTCAGTGCTATCAGGCTAAAGTTAGCATTTTCCAAGATCTCCTACTGCACCTTTAACTTGTGAGCCATTTTTAGGAGGGCCTGTCATGCACGAGACACTGCAAAAGGCGCGAGGACGCAAACACAGTGGTCAAACACATCCATCAAACGCATGTTCCCACAGAAAAAAAACAACAATGGAAAAGCAGCGCAGTGTAATGCAAAAATCTGCTTTATGTGTTGCACTTGGAAAATAACTTTTTAATAAAGAGAATGTTACTTGAATCATGTAGTAACATTTTTAGGTTGACTAGTTAAATGTTAGAAAAATCTAAATCATTTTCTTGAATCTGCTAAACCTTCTGAAAAAAAAATGTCAAGCTTTTATTATGTGCCCTATCGCCCAGCCCCAGGTGGTCTTTTATTTGTTGGGCCAGTAAGTAACCACCGAGCAATGCACCCACAACACCATGGCAACTGCGTAGTAACACTCAACAAAACACTCAGAAATCCTTACAAACCACACACAGCTGCCTTTTTTAACAACACCTCTGCAAACACCCATAGCCCCCCAGCACTGTGCCACTGAGATCTGCACAGGTAAGCAGTAGGGTTGGGTAAAAAAAATATAGATATCTCGATATTAATCGATTCTCATTTTTACGGAACGATATTGATTCTTAAATCCCAAGAATCTATTAGTCTAGCCTGTTTTCAGTTAATGGACGGAACATTGAAGGGCACCTCCCATCCAATATATTGCAATAAGCATTGTGCTTTGGTACTTTAATATGAAAAAGTCTCAGATTTCAAATTATGTCCATTGAATTGCAGTATTCAAACAATAAATGCCATTTTGGCTCTGTTTAATGTGGAGTGTCAGATCGCTGTAGCAACATGAGGCGCACGTGAACTGATCATCTCCTCCACATTAATACCAGTTTCAGCACAAAATAAACATGACTAAGCATCCGAAGGTAAGTTAAAAGAAAGAGTACAATTTTACAATCCGTATCCTGTCTCATGTAATCCCTCAATCTGTGTTTCAGCCGCGCAAAGACGTCAATAGGCCTATAAATGTTACGTAACGTCACATTTACCTCAGAAAAAAACATATTTGGTGACCATAAACTGATTAGTCAGATAGAAAAATAAACTGTAGAGAGGGGCATTTTGCTAAAATATATGCTCCATAACATATTCATTATAAATGTTACTGAAAACATTTTTAAAAATATCTTCTGCTCTCTAAGGTTGCATTTATTTGATCAAAAATACATTAAAATAGCATCTAATAGCAAAATATTCATTAAAAATTTTAAATAACTGTTTTCTATGATTGGTGGCTGACTAAATACTTTTTTGCCCCACTGTATATTAAAATGTAATTTATTCCTGTGATCAAAGCTGAATTTCCAGTATCCTTACTCCAGTCTTCAGTGTCACATGATCCTTCAGAAATCATTCTAATATACTGATCTGATGCTCAAAAAAGATTTCAGATTATTATCAATGTTGAAAACAAATAAATGCAGCCTTAGTGAACAGAAGAGACTTCTTTCAAAACAGATAAGTTGAAATATGCCTCTTATAACATATGATGCATAATAAGCATGTTTACTTTCATCACTGGAGCTGCAGCTCTTTGACTTTCCACCACTTGAAAAGAGAGAATCATCCAGTCCAACATTATAACAGCTCCAGCCCGCAGCGGGATGGGTTGCTCTGACTGTCCATCGATCAGTTTGGATTTCCATTAAAAGGAGCTGGTGCACAAGGCCTGACTGATTCAGAGTGAGTGCTTTTGGGAAGAGAGTACACCAGAGAAAATACAGCTCCTAAATAATCAATGATTGAGGGAGTAAATCAGCAAGAGTGAAAGAGGCTAAAAT